AGTGGCAGCTCAGCTCGGGGTGCAGGGTCACTGGCCCATGTGGAACTCGAACCAGTGACTCTGTTGGTCAGAGCTCACACTCTTGGGCAAGCTCTTAACCAACTGAGCCACATGGCCAGCCCTCCGCTATATTTTTAAAGATTTAATTTTTTAGTGGTTACTCTAGGATTCACCATGTAATCTTGACTTATCAGAATCAGCTTCAGACTTATACTAGCTTAATTCCAGTGTTATATAGAAATGTTACTCCTATATAGCTTCATTCCCTTCCCCCTTTTTATAGTATTAGTGTTATATATATTACACCTATTAAAGTTAGAAACCTGACAATACATTGTTAAAGTTATCACTTTACCATCTATAGTCATTTCCTTAGCCCATTACAGCTATGCTCACACCCATGTCCTTTGTGCTGTTATTGGCAAGTATAGTACACATATATTACATTTCTAAGTTATAGTCCCAACAGTATATATGATATATATATTTTACACAATTGCTGTTTAAACCTGTTAAGAGAAGAAAGGAGAAAACTATGCATTTATGTTCTCTTTTATAATTATATACTTACCTTTATTGGTGCTTTTTTTTTTAATGTGGATTTAACCCTCCGTCAGGCGCAACAGATCTCACAGATTGTTTTGAGTTTCTGTTGATTTTTATACTGAATTTATTAAAAACATAGTTTTTACTTTGTGGCAAATTAAAATTTCATTCTGAATAAATAATAAGCATGCTTACACGTTATTTTCATTCATTTTCAATTTAAATAAATAAATGTCATACACGCATCTAGTAGATGCGTTACACCCGAACTCATAACTTTTGCATTGCGCCCGACAGAGGGTTAAATTACTAACTGAGGTCACTTGCTTTTAGCCTGAAGAACTTCCTTTAGTATTTCTTGTAAGGAGGGTCTTTGAGCAACATATTTTCTCAGTTTTTGTTTATCCAAGAAAGTCTTTATTTCACCTTCATTTTTGAAACGTCCTTTTCATTTATATCCAGCTGTGTTGGATATAGGATTCTCGTTTGACACGGTTTTTTTCTTTGAGCACTTTGAAGAAGTCAGCTGTTAATCTTATTGGGGTTCCCTTGTAAGTGTGGAGTTATTTTTCTCTTGCTCCTTTCAAGATTTTCTCTTCTTTGACTTTCAGCATTTTTTTTTAAAGATTTTTATTGGTGAATTGGGGGGATGGGAACAGTGCTGGGGAATTGGGGGAAGGGGGACAGACAAGTTGCTGTCCTTTTGTTCTTCAGTCTAGTTGTGGAGGATGTTGCTTCACTGGCCCAAGTTGGCACCATCATTGCGCTCTTCCCGGGTGAGGCAGATCAGTCACCGGCTTCTGGACGGCCGCTCACTGCGGCTGCTGGCCGCTCACGCTGGCTGCTGGCTACACATGGTAGCCCATGGCAACCCACTGCCACAGGGACTGCAGCCCACGCCGTCGCCAGCGACACACAGCAGCCCAGCTCCAGGTTGAGCCGTTGTTCAGCATCTTAGCTGTAGAGGGCAGTGTCACTGGCCCTCATATGTGGGATCCGAACCGGGGCCCTCTGGCATCCCAAGCGAGTTCTTAACCATCGCGCCACTCGGCCGGCCCATCAGCATTTTTAATATGTGTGTCTGTTTGTGAATCTCTTTGTATTTATCCTCCTTGGAGTTCACTGAGCTTCCTGAATGTTTAGGTTATTGTTTTTCAATAAATTTATAAAGTTTCAGTCATTATTTTTTTTAATATTTTTTTTCCTCTCTTCTCCTTCTGGTATTCCCACTGTGCATGCTGCTGCATTTGACAATCTATCACATTTCTCTGCAGCTCTATACATTCTTCTTCATTTTTTCCCCCCTCTCTACTCTTCAGCTTGTATAATCTCTATCATTCTATCTTCAAGTATGCTAATTCTTTCTTCCGCCAGTTTGAATATACTTTGGTCCCCTCTAGTGAATTTTTTTTTTTAAGATTTTATTGGGGAATTGAGGGAGGGGAACAGCATTGGGGTATCAGGGAAGGGGAACAGACAAGTTGCTGTCCTTTTGTTCTTCTGTCTAGTTGTGGAGGACACAGCTTCATTGGCCCATGTTGGTATTATGATCATTGTACTCTTCCCGGCTGAGGCAGCTGGTCGCCGGCCATTGGACAGCCAATCACAGCCACTCACAGCCGCTCATGGCAGTTCACGGCAGCTCAGACAGCCCACTGCAGTCCCACTACAGCCTACACCATCGCCAGCCACTCACCGCAGCCCAGCTCCAGGTTCACCATCTTAGCTGTAGAGGGCGCAGCATCACTGGCCTATATGAGAACCGAACCGGCAGCCCTGCAGCTCAGAGCTCACACTCCCAAGCTAACTCTTAACCAACTGAGCCACTTGGCCGATCCCTCTAGTGAATTTTTTCAGTCATTGTACTTTCCAACTCCAGAATTTTAATTTGGTTTTTTTTATAATTCCTATCTCTTTATTGATATTCTCTATTTGATGCAAAAAATGTCATTATACCTTCCTTTCCTTCCTTAATCATGCTTTCTTTTAGCTCTGTGAACATATTTATAAAGGCTACTTTGAAACCTTTTCATTAAATCTGACATCTGGTTGCTCTCACAAGCAATTTCTGTTGCTAGCTTTTTTCCACTGTATGGGTCATACTTCCCTGTTTCTTTGCATACCTCATAATTTTGTTGGAAACTAGACATTTTCGGTAATATAATATATCAACCCTGGGGACTGGTGCCCCCTCTTTAGGGCTTGTTATTGTTATTTGCTCATTTATTTGAAGACTGACTGAGCTGTTTTAGTGAAATCTACTTCCCTAACACAGTTATAAGGCCTATGATGTCCCCCTCAGGAAGGCCACCTTTAGATATGCGCATAGGTTTTAGTAGGACTTTCTCTTTTCCTAATCACACCCAGCTGTTAAACTCCACTAATTGTGGTATATTGTTCTATTATTTTCAACAATGCTCTGGGGTATAAATTGCTCTACAAAGTAATCCAATCAAAAGGTGCCTCTTTTGAGGGGACAATTTTTGAGTTTCACGTTTGATATTTCTTCTGACCCCAGAAGGGCTTTTCCTAGCTGTCTTATTCCCCCATTCTCTCCTGCAAACTAGCTGGCCTATAGTCTAGGTCGCATATTCATTCAATCCACAAATCCCCTCCCAAATGCCTTTCACCAAAACCTCCACTGTTCTTGAGTACCCATAGGCATAAACTTCTCCATACTCTGTAACAAATGAAGCCACAACCTTTGGAAACAGATTAGTAGCTAAGGTTTTTAAGGCCTGCTTCTCCCTCCAGGCAAAATCTGAGCCCTTAGTGTAAGTGGGGAGAGGGACATATATGCCTGAGGTCTTCTCCATTTGCCTCTCCAGGCTGGAACCACCTTCTCACAGGATGAGGGTGGGCCAAGAGTAAATGGGACCCAGTATTCTCAGTGTGCCACGCCCAGGGTGCAGCCTCCAGTCTATAAGTAGGAGCTGGGTGGAAGAAAGAAGCTCCCATCTTTCAACTTCACTCAGTTTCAGCAACAAATAACCCTGTGCAGAATGAGAAGCACTGAAGTCCTGCTCCTCCTGGGAAGAAAGCCTTCTGACTAGGAGCTAGGTAGAGAGGGAGCCCTGTGTTCTGAGTTGCAGCAGTCTGAAGTAGAATCTCTACCTTGCTGAGCTGGGAGCAGGGAGGGTGGTATTGGTCAAATGCCATAAACTCTTGCCTTCCTTATCCAATTTTTATGTATTTTCTAGAATAAATGTTTCTTCACTTAATGTTTGCCCTTAGGACCATTTCCAGAGTGTGTAAATTGTTGGGTTTTTTATAAATAATTTTTACCAGTTTTATGAAGAAACAGTGGAGCTCCTCACACTGTCATGCTGGAAATTAATCCTGTCTATAGTGGCTTTTGGGCTACAATGGCACTACAATGGTACAGCTGAAGAGTTAAGTAGTTGCAACTGAAACCTTATGGCCTGTAAAGCTGAAAATATTTACTACCGTGTTTCCCCGAAAATAAAACCTAATTGGAAATTAAGCCCTAGCATGATTTTCAGGGTGCTCATAAAATAAGCCCTACCCCGAAATAAGCCCCAGTTAAGACAGTCAGCCAAAAGTGACTGTATTTGAATAAATGTAGATTTTTGTACATGAATAAATAAAATGCATCTTTTGGAGCAAAAATTAATATAATACCCATTCTTATTTTCGGGGAAACATGGTATGTGGCCCTTTACAGAAAAAGTTTGCCAACCCCTGACTTAGGTCACTGCTGCCAATACTGCTGGTCCACAGACCACACTTTGAATAGCAAGAGCTTATATTACTTGAGAAGGCAGTACTGTATTAACTAAGAGCTTGATTCAACACCCCACTTTGCCATTTACTAGATATATGATTTGGGGTACCTGTCTCATTGGGTTGTTGTGAGAATATATGAATGTCTGGCACTTAGAAAGTATTCAACAAATGATAACTGTTATCATCATGATAAAAACTATGGAAAATGTAAGTACAAGACACACCATCTCTTTCCTCAAAGAGTTTTTTTCCAGAAAATTTAAATTTTGGAAAAAGGAAACAAGTATAGACTTTCCAATAAAACGAGATGCTTTTTAATACCTGGGGTACATAATATTATCTAGCGAAGTAAAAACTCTATAGAGCTGAAGCTTAAGCCTGACACTGAAAACCAGAATTGCTACCACAGATACTTCCAGCCTCTTGCAGTAACAATGAATGAAAACTTTAAGGAAGTGCTTCCAAACCCAAAGCCCTACTGAAAAAGGCAGCAATTTATTTTTAATATGAGGATTTGGGCCTAGATGGTTTCTTCCGGTTCTAGCCATCTCTATCTATGCCCAGAGATGATATAAGTAGAATCCCTCAAGTTTCCACCTCGACTGTCACAGCGACAGGGGCGGTGACAGACCCGCACGAGGGCCAGGCGAGCAGAAATTCCGCCAGGCTCCCCTAGCCGCAGCCCGTCGGGGCTGCCAGCTGATTACCTCGCAATTGAACTCCATCTCGGCGTCCATGGTGACGATCCGCACGGTGAACGTCTTGGGCTGCTTCCTCTTGAGCGAGCTGAAGCTCATGCGGGAAGCGATGGCCCCGGCCATGATGCGGGGCTCAGGCCCGGGACCCTCGCGTCCCGAGGCCTGCGCTTTGGGACTGTTAGCCCCCCTGGAGGAGCTGCACAGGCCTCAGGGCCACCATGGTGGCCGGCCGGCCAGCCTGGGAGCTGTCTGAGCGGCGCGGGCCACCAGCAGCCAGCATGGGCCGCGAGGACCCTGCCCCGGGAGCCGAAAGGAGGAGTTGGGGGCGAGCCCTTACGGCCGTAGGAAGGGAACGCGAGCGGGGACCGACGGGGCGGACTCGGCCCGGAGCTCCAGGACTCGGGTGGAGGACGCTGGGGTCACCCGGGGACGGGGCCCCTAGACGGCTGCGGCCCAGATCCCGCGCGCCTCTCAGCCGCTGACGGAGGTGTCGGGGCCGCGCTGCAGCCAGGCGCGCACGTGCGCGCGTGGCTGTCACCGTCCTCGCTCCGCGCGCCCGCGGAAAGCGTCCCCTCCCCGCAGCCCCCGGCCTGCTCCCTGCCCCGCCCTCAGGCCCCCGAGATCACAACTCACAGCGCAACCTAACCGGCGGCTACCGCTTAGACACAACAATTGGCTTAGAACTCCGAGTGAGGCGGGACTTTCATTCTCCGTCCCGCCTTCTTCACCAGGAGTCCACCAATTGGAAGTTCCGCCCTAACTGGAGGCGCGGGCCTGGGCTCGGAGTTGACTGGCTATAGAGGCAGTCGCTCCGATCGCTTTGTTAGTAAGGGGTACGCCTACTCTAACAAGACTGGTTGAGGCGGCGGATCCCGGCGCGCCTTTCCTGGGAAACCACGTTGAGGCTGGCCTCAGGTTACGGGAGTCGGGTTTCTCCCAGGTCCAGTGAGGGACTGCCCTTCAGATCAAGTACGTGCCGAGTATGACGCCCCAGGGGGTCGTGTTTCGGACACCCGGGGGATAATCCTGTTTGGCACTTAATAATTACATATATACTGACCTATGATTCTCAAAACTTTTATAAATCACTTGTGGCGGTTGCTTCGATTGTTGGCACGCTCCCTCAGATCCTTGTGCTTCTCTTTAGGAGAAATATTAATTACTACTGAGGAGGGGATAAATGTACCTACTTCATGGAGGTTTTGAGAAATTTAAGCGTGTTACAAAGCTTTAGAATGGTGGCTGGCACATACTGGGTTGAATCATAGGAAATTGCTGCTTTTAGTAAAACGGTCAAAATGAAAACATTTCTCACTTTGTACTCATGATTTGTTTCGAACCATATACGTGTATTATTTGTTTTCTAAATGTCATCAAAGCTTAGGGCCAGCTGAATAGCAGGATCGTTAGGAGATGGCTTGGGGTGCCAGCTCTGAGCAGCAGGACCCCAGTTCTGATCCCACATGTGGGCCAGTGACGCTGTGCCCTCTACAGCTAAGATGGTGAACAACAGCTTGACCTGGAGCTGGGCTGCCGTGAGTCTCTGGCGACGGCGTAGGCTACAGTGGGGTTGGCCGGCAGCAGGCTTGAGCTTTTGTGAGCTGCCGTGAGCGGCTGTCCAATGGCCAGTGAGCGACTGCCTCACCCGGGAAGAGCGCAATGATAATACCAACTTGGGCCAGTGAAGCAACGTCCTCCACAAGTAGACTGAAGAACAAAAGGACAGCAACTTGTCTGTTTCTCTTCCCCAATTCCCCAATAAAATCTTTTTTTTTAATGTCATCAAAGCTTATAACGAGTGTATATGAGGTGAGGAAGTACAACTTTCTATATTTAAAAAATAAATCCTATTTTAAATACCTCTTACATGTTGAATAGAGACAATTTCCTGCGTTTTAACTGAACAGTAAGCACTCAATAAATGTTAACCGTCACTGCAGAGGAGGAAATAGGCTTAACATGACAGAAACACTGGTTGGCTATCAACCAGATGGTGAAAGGTGAAGCTGGGACTGGAACCCAGGTCTATTCCATCCAAAGCCTGCTGGTATTACCACTGCACTGCCTGCTTCTCTGAGGTTATGTTTGCCAAATTGCTCCCTGTTGTAGCCCCAAGAACGACAGCATTCAGCAGACACTGTTGCTAAGACAATACTAATAGCATAAATCCAGCTCTTCCCCATGGGTCCCTGTGGTGCCTTGAAGCACCAGCCAGGCCCCAGCTGGCACACCCAGAGAGGCTACTGTATGGGAACTTTATGTCCTGTCTACTGCTAGCAAATTCTCCCCACCAAACTGTTCAGGAAAGTATGGGCTGGGGGGTGGGGGGTGGGGAGGTAGGGATTGTCTTCATTTTCATTGCTTCAGTTTTTCCCCTCAGGTGGGAGAACCAGGCTGGATTCTCCTACGGGCTCCCCACCAGGACAAAAATCAGGACTTTCTTTAACCCAGAGCCAAGACTGCTGACAGAAAATAGTGACCTGGTAACAAGTGGAGGTGGATCAGAAATTGGGCTAAAAATGACACTGATGGCCAGTAATAGCTCGGTTTTTTTTGTTTTTTTTTGTTTTTTTGGGGTTTTTTTTGTTTTTTTTTAAGCTGAGCCATCCTGCTACCTGTTGGCAGCTCAGCGGCTGCTCAGCTCGGGCTGGACTCGAACCGCTGTTGCTCAGAGCTCAAACTCTTGAGCGAGCTCTTAACCAACTGAGCCACTCGGCCGGCCCAATAGCTCGTTTTTATAGAAAGCTTACTAGTTGTTAGGCACTGGGCTAACTGGCCTACACGCCAAGTTTAAATGTTCCTAGGAAGACATCCAGGTCTGGATGTCAGAAGGAAGGCCAAGGCCAGGAATAAAAATAGTGATGGAATATTATGCTGGCATTAAAAGCACCATTCATAAAGAATAAACAGAGATGGTGATAGTACCTACAAGATAAGGATTTGAGAAGGAATGATTCAGATAGAGCTCCTTAAAAAAGATCTGGCACATAGATACCAGGTAATAAATATCTTTTGAATGAATAAGTAAGGATATGAATAATACTTATGGTCTCAATTATAGGAACAATATTAATAGCTATCATATATTAAGTGCTTGTCATATGAGGCACTCTGCAAAGTGTTTTGCATACTTTATTTCCTTTGATATTTATCAAAACCCTATTTGGTAAGTATTATATCCCTAGTTTAAACATGAGGAAACTAGCTAAGGCTAAAATGAGGTAATTTACTCAAGACCATGACTGGTAGAGATGTAATTTTCATCCAGGGCTATTTTAATCCAGATGTCACCTGACTTATATTTTGTTCCTCCATTCTTCCAGAAGATCCGTGGTTCTCAAAATTAGGTCACTTCTTTCCAAGGGATATTTGGCAATGTTTGGAGATTTTTATTGGTTGTCACAACTAAGGGGTGCTCCTGTCTTCTATGGGTAAAGGCTAAGGATGTTCTTAAACCTCTCACAATGCACAGGACAACCTTCCACAACAAAGAATTATCCAGCCCAAAGTATCAATAATGCCAAGATAAAGACATTTCTTTAAATTTTTTGAGTCAAAAACACTCTAGAGAGAATCTGATGAAACCAGCAGATCCACTCAAAGGAATGCATACACGCACAAAATTTTCCATATGGTTTTAGGAGGTTCATGGAAAACTTGTCCAAAGCACATCTATGAACCCCACATTAAATCAACTCATCCCACTGATTAAATCAACTTATCCTAGATGTACATGTGAATTGTGACGCCTTTGCCAAAAACTGGACTTTGTCGTTTTTGGCCACTTGTGGAGTTAACTTTACTGCACGTTGGAATGAAGCCATTGTCCTGTACTGAAGATGTTATAAGGAACAGCTCTGAGGAACTCTGACTATCTTTACTGTAGATATTTCGCTGGCAAAACTTCACACAGTGTCTTTTCTATGGAGACCCACGAGAGAAATCTCTCACATTCCAGTACTCATGGGAGACTTGTTTGCTTTTTATTTTCTAAATAAGTTTTTATTGTGTTTCTCCTTATTTTACAAGTAATCCATATGTATTATAAAAAAGAAATCAAGGGCCGGCCGAGTGGCACGTTGGTTAAGAACTGGCTTGGGATGCCAGAGGGCCCTGGCTCGGATCCCACATATGAGGGCCAGTGACGCTGCCCTCTACAGTTAAGATGCTGAACAACAGCTCAACCTGGAGCTGGATTGCCAAGCTGCAGTGGGTTGCCATGGGATACCGTGTGTAGCAAGCAGCCAGCGTGAGCGGCCCTCAAGCAGCTGTAAGCAGCCGTCCAGAAGCCGGCGACTGATGTGCCTCGCCCGGGAAGAGCGCAATGATGGTGCCAACTTGGGCCAGTGAAGCAATGTCCCCCACAACTAGACTGAAAACCAAAACGACAGCAACTTGTCTGTTCCCCTTCCCCGATTCCCCAGCGCTGTTCTCATCCCCCAATTCCCCAATAAAAATCTTAAAAAAAATCAAAACCCAGCAGTGTGGTAGGCATAATTCTAAAATGTCCCCCAATGGCCTACAGCTTTGTATAATTCTCCCCTTTGGGTGTGGACAAGACCTATGGATATGATGGGATATTATTCTGTGACTATGTTACTTTGTATGGCAAAAGGAATTTTGGCAAATGTAAAGGGAAATTATCCTGAGTGGGACTTACCTAATCAGGTGGCTCTTAAAAGGGGATCAAAAAAAACAGAGGTGGAGGGAGTCAGAGAGATGAGCTCCTGCTGGCTTAGAAGAAAGCAAGCGTCCATGTTGTGAACTGCCTATGGGGTCACATAGCAAGGAACTCTGGGTGGCCTCTGGGAGCAGAGAGTAATCCCCACCGGATAGCAAGAAAATGGACTTCAGTCCTACAACCACAAGCAGCGGATTCTGCCAATAACCTGAATGAGCTAGGAAGAGGCTCCTGAGCTTCCAATGAGAACTGTGGTATGGCTGACACCTTGATTTAAGTCCTTTGAAACCCTGAGCAGAAGATAATGCTAGGCCATGCCTGCAACTCAGACCCTGGATTCCAGACTCATTCCAGATCCATGAGATAAATGGAATTGCCAGTAAAATTGTGATAATTTGTTACACAGCAATAGAAACCTGATACAAGCAGAAAGAAAAACCAATTTTAATTTGCATAATCCACCGGCCCACTGCTTTTATATAGTACACATTGTTTTATGATTTGTTAATTTTTCATTAATTAATTTGTTATGAATATTTTTCCATATCATTAAATATTCTATAATATAATTTTCTAAGGGCTGCATAGGATCCCATGCATGGATGTAAATGTTTGGGGGGGGGGTTTTCTCTCTCTCTTAATATGCTGTGAACCATATAACCAATCTTGTTTCCTTCTTGAAATTTTCTGTTAGAAAGCCCAGAGACAAATTTGAATTTAGCCTCTGGCAATTGTACCTGCTCTTGCTTTATCTTTGGCTTCAACTTATTTTTCCTGCCCTTATTCCTCACTTTGCAGTAACTTCCCCCACCCACATACTGTTTATTTATTGCACTAGCTGTATTTCTTTTTATATAGTTATGGATCCCTTACATAAAGGCTTTTTTGTTTATTTGTTTTTCTTAGGTCAATACTTTATATTACAAA